ACAGGTAACTATTAAATATAGTGAAACTCAAAAAAAAGTAATCTACCGAACGTATAGCTCAGGGTAGATTCTTTAGAACTGAAATGGTACTTTTGTTGCGTAAGAACACAGCAAAAGTTTGATAAATGCAAATCACGTTAGGACTAAACTTCCCGTTCGAAAAGCGCGCGAGGTAGCCATTCATATCTTAAAAATTATCAACCCAGCTATGTAATTTACTACAGTGAATCTTGTATCATTTGTATCAATTTGATCTTGCCTGTAAACTGGCATGCCTCATGTAACAAACTGTTATTTGAGAAAAAATTATTATTATTATTACTTGTTAACTGTCTATTACAGGCAATTCAGAATAGTCAACATCTTTTTCTCTAATAGCCAAACGCCTTATGTAACTATGTTATCTTCAAGGAGATTCAGTGATTTGGTGCTATTTTGGTTCTTTCGCACGTTCATAGTCATCTCAATTTTTTGAAGTAATTCAAATAATTAACATAGATATTGAAGTTATCCCTTAACCCGGACTGACGACATGACTCGTCAACATATGAATACACAAACCAAGACTTCAAAACACATTCCTCATAATGAGGTAAAAAGGTTGATAAAACAGTTCTCGGTACAAATGGACTGAATCGAAATCCATTTAATTAGAGTAGGTTAATTTTATTGTTTTAAGGCCGTCATCAGTCACCGATATATTAGCTTTCATCCAAGTCTATTTTTGAAAATTTCGTCCTAAGTTTTAATGTGAGCTTTTCGTCGTGGATGTGTTTTAGATGCAATCGTTAGGGTTGGTTTACGGATCAGATAGTCTATGTTCACTGACAGAGAACCAATCACTCATCAATTATCGGCTAGAGGTACGGGCCGTAATGATCTCTGGTTTGGATAAGTCATATTTTTCTGTCGAAACTGGAGTTACGCAAGCAGATAGTTAAGTGCTTCCATCAACTGACCCTCATTTTCTCGGATTAAAAAATGGTTTCTATTTCTAGATGATCTATGCTAATGATAGGGATAGCCACGTCTGACACAACTAAGATTCAGTGAATGGATTTGCTCACACTTCGGTCGTGGTACTTTTACTGTGTTTAGCGACTGATTTTTTATGTGCGCTGGTTGAACATGTGTTCTGAGTGACTATCATAAAAGACTTCAAAAAGGGAACTAATTCCTGCTCCAATGTCGGCAAGATAGCAGTTTGCATCATTGCGTCTGATAGTTTTGACAGGTAGGTGTGTCCACTGGCTACCTGCCGTCCTGTTGCCAAATTCTGACCCAAATCGATATTGTGGAATGATTCTCTTTGCCCTTGTTAAATAGTCACATCTCCTCTTTTAAGAGCAGCCCTTTCAATGGGTTGTTGTGACGATTTTTTTTCGATGTGTTATACTTGTTCTCCTTACACGGTGGTGCTTGAATATTTGCAATGAGCTGCGAGAATGAGAAAATCACGTCTCAGTTGTGGAATCTTCCTCTGTATGCAAGATCGTTTCGTACAGTCGGGCAACCCTCGTTTATCGATAGAACAAACCAGACTGGTAGTGAATATGTCTTTACTTAGATCGTGCGTGATGTTGTCTTTTTCAAACACACAAATTTTTTCAGCACTTATTGTAAAATAATAGGAAATGTAATGCCTGTACAGTATAGAGAAGTTAATAAATACTTGAGCTATAATGGCTTGACATTACTATGTAGGGCCAGTGAAATTTCAGTGAGCCCTAGCCAAATCATCCTGAGGTTGGGTCATTGAATATCGAACAAATAATCGATCCTTGTCAATGTCAAGGACAACCAACGCGCATCAGTTAATCGTACGCCATGGACTGGCCCATACGGCAGTGGTATTACTTTCGCTTGTATCTGCTTTAACTAATATATTTCTGTAATAACGTTCTCTGTGTTGTACATTCTTCAAAGCATCTACAGTACCTTGATATGCCAACGAGGTAATCCACGTAGGGTGCTGACCACGAGGTGTGACTTCGACGTTAGCTGGTTCGTCACACCATTCCCGTCTAACTCAAGTAGGCCTCCGATCATTCGACACAGATCATCTAGGCTGGTTATTTACAACTAAGATGTTTGCGGCCAACGTTTGACTAATCAACCTAAGTTGTTACAAGTTAACCTTCGATATTGTCAAGCAACAACGTCAAAAGGATGACGCTAGAGACCTAATTTTAATAAGAATGAGCGTGATTACAGTAGTTATGCGATAGGAATAAGAACCATGGGGATACGAAGACGTGATGTCACAGTAAATAAATATGTAGACCACACAAAAAGGGAGCCTCTCTTTGCATTTTAAGCATCATACTACTTCGCTTTCAGAAGGTGAATTTGAATCGATCAGCAGTTAAATATTTAGACTTCTTGTGAAAGATGGCTATAGGGCCTAACCTGAAAGGCTTTTAAAATCATCTGTACACTCAGACGATTTGATTCGAAAGGAGCTCAAGTTGATAATCTTTGCTCTATGGAATGAGCAAAACAGATACGTGCGTGCAACCACTCTTATATGGTCTTAGCACTTAATTTTTATGAACAGTTGTGTGATCGTTTCACACGACTGTAATGATTTTGCTCTACTTACTTTTAGCTTTAGTTGTTAGTTATTATCACCTTCACATTGTTAATCTATTCTCCACCTTTCTCATACTTGCTAAACGGATCATTATGCTCCTCATATTTGATTTTTTTCCTAACATCTCTTCAATTTTTGAATAATTAGCAACTTTTTTTCACATGATATGATACCTTTCAATAAACAATTTCGCTTGTAAATTAACTTTAAACCCGTCTGTATAGCTTGGGTGAATGATATTATCGAAAAGAATAATGTAATTACAGAGTTCTTTTGATTCCTTTTTAGTGACAACATGGGTCACTTTCTTCAAGCGAAAAAAATAGAGGCGATGTACCGACTCACAAATTACCTACTAGTGTTTCAGACCACCTAGGACCACGTAGGATTTTGGCACGTTGGAATATGATAATACTGATGTTCTAGTATCCTTTATTGGAATAGTTGCAGAACGATAGATTATTATTAAGTAATGGATGGTTAGGTGGGAAGATATATTTCGGTTGTGAGCAAGGGTGTCATAGTGTGTAGCATCCAGCCCAAACATGGTCCTTTGGAATGCTTGACCGAGCCCCATTGGTCGTTTTTTGCTCAATATAAATTGAGTGATATCTGAAAAATGAAGTGCTGAAAGGCATACGGACAAATTCGTGTTATCCAAGCTGACTAATAATTGTAGTTCTCGAAATCTTATCAGGATGAAGTGGAAAGTGGTGGAATGCTTGTAATTTCGGAAAATCTCTAACACTTCGTATGTTAGGCGTATGTGCCTAAGTCGCCCATCTTGCTAGATCAAACCTTGGTAAGTGCAGGACTCATAGGGTCGGAACGTCTGTAGAGTGCAAAAACAGGTGATACTTTAGTTGTAATCCAGTGTGGAGCACTTTCCTGAAGTAGGATGTGACTCAGCAAATACGCATGCAGAGAATCACACACGGGTACGTATATGTGATACAAAGAAGACGATTGTCTTGAAAGCTCTGATGAGTGAAGCTACCAACGATCATCTGTTATCACACCTATTCACCTTTGTTTCCACATGGTTTTAGCTGTCTTGACTAGATTTCCCTGACAATGGCAAAGGTAGACATGACTGAAGGTAGTGAGTCGTCTGGGCCTATCTCTAGATCCGTTTCGAAACATTTACTATGATGTTTACTACATATGTTACTGAGCTACGTGCTTGATAAATATATTAACTGTTTACGGCGAACCAACAAGTTGGCCGTTTGTAGAGGTACTTTGCCTTTCTGCCGTCTGTGTTCCTATACTCTCGCTTAATCCGTCTGTTATTTTTGCGAGTCTGTCTAAATCAACATTTCGTTATCATGCGCTAACGTTTGGGGGAATTTTCGCGAAATTACCTGAGCAATGGCTGATAAAGTAGGTAATTTTCAACGTGTCTATTTGCGAAAATGCCATCTATCTATTCAATTTTTACCTAATTCTACATTACCTGAAAGCTGATCAGATTGCCTGATGGTGAGATGAAAAAGTAGCCTTAACGACTTTCGTTTTCATAATATCTGATGGGAAGTCTGCATCTAGTTTAAGTATGATATCGCTCACTTGTCCTATCATATCACCCGGAAGCGCGAAGTGTGTCTGATTGAAGTTTATTGCTTAACTGGTAATTTTAAGGTCTTCAAAGTGCCTCCAAGTCTAGAGTTGCTTGCCTTAAAGGCGGACACAGGCATAGATGAGTATCCAACGCTTTAGCAATGGTAGAAATAGAAGATTCTTGAAGTATAACGGCAAAATAAATACATAAATTGCAGTATTCGTTGTGATGGGAATGATTGATCAACATGTGAGAGATAAAAAATGAGCACAGGATTAGGATTGTAAATGTGAGCTGATGCACAAAAATATGGTATAATAGTCAAAATGGTAATGTTATTCTTTATGAGATCAGTTTCGTGTATATTGAATGTTACAGTACGATGTAGAGATGTATTCCCTGGTTGTTTATAATACTAGGCGTTTGTCTTTTTCATAGGTTCATCACTTGTGTAATGTGGGATGTATCTATGACTAAATTATGGTAATTCTAGATCCGAGAGTATCTTTTAAGCAAACGATAACTAAGATCGCCATAACATATTCTTTGATCAGGAATTATATTTTTAACTCGAATCAAGCATACTGGCAAGCAAAAAATTTAATAGATGGAACATAATCTCAAAAGTCCATGATGCATTCAAACAACGAGAGCGTACAGTTAATAAAATTTCAAATGTGTTAAGAAATACACTAAATGAATTTTCTAAATAATTTCAGCCTACTCATAGTAATAAACTTATAGAGACGGGAAATAATTGCATTGAATCAGGTGTTCTCAAGAGGAGTTTAGTTATACTTTGTTTTAGTGCATGTCACTCGTTACGAATTTGTGCTTGTTTTGACAATGGAAGAGTCAGCCAGGTAAGATCTTTCTCCATCTCTGTATCTATCGGATTACTGGAATTAACTCAATTACCGCATAAACGTTGCACGCACCTCAATAAAAATTCATGTAGAATCAGGTGTCTCGATATCAGGTCTGCCGACGATTCGTTGGATAAAACTAAGCTGGGATCTGTCATACGATCCCATATGATCCTGAAGCTCGTTTGCATCATTGGTTTGAAATCAAGGCTTTTCAGCTCCGGGCAGGTCGTCTGTAACAGTCAACTCGGCTGAGTCACTAGACGTTTGCTTATCGTCTCAGTTTCTTGAACCACACCACCGAGATACTCACTGTGAAATGGCAGTGAACACGTAAGCTTATGAGAGGGTTTCAAGAAAACTACGTCTCCCCTACTCCTGACCAGGGTATTTCGGGACACCAAGTGGCAAAACCCTGTTAATTCAGAGACTCGGTAATTTGTTTATGGGCACAATAAAGGTAATTTGGGGTAATGTCACCATCCTAATGTTTCAGTTTCAGTGGCTTAGACATGGGTCGCGAATTTCACTACATCAACTTCCACACCATAGGTTATTTTCTGACTTCGGAAAGGAGTGGTAAAAACGGAGTAATAGTCAGTTTACGCGTTGACCTCTTGGTTTCATGGAAAGCATAAAATTGACATCCTTTCGTCCCTCACTACTCGCTAGCTGAAATCAGAGTTGGTGCGATTCAGTGACTTAAAATGTCATTAGACAGTAAAAGCCAATGGGGATCTTGCGTTAGTTCACCTTCACATAAAATATAGGGCAACTCCTATGACCAATGGAAGGCTCTTGGTTCTTAATTGTACTTCCTGCTCTGTACTGTTCTCGCGTATTTATTTCGTACATTTTTCTGTCCGAATGTACTCCTTTTTTATGCCAACCCTAAAATTGTATGGCACGTCCCATCTTTGATGCTTAGTTGTACCAGATTTGTGCATAAACAAAGGTCAGTGGTATTTCCATAATCAGATATTCTGACTACAGGTGAGATTTGAGCCATTTATGGAATGAGGTTTGTCTCTTTAAGATAAAAGGCATTGCTACAGCTCCCATTTTCGTAGAAATATTTGGGGAGAACCCGTAGCAATTCGTTTAAGATAAGTTCTGTGCATATGTAATTTAGCTAAAAACTTGCTGGACTGAAATGGTATGTTAAATAATCAAAATACTTCATAGTAAGAGATCTTACTGTTATGGTTTTTATTTATATGGATAAGTGTTATCGACCCTGCAGTTTTTCTCTTCAGATTGCCAATGCTTTCAGTAAAGGATCACCGCGATGAGAAGCATCGGAAACGTCGTTCCCATCGAGAAGAATCAGAATATCACTATGGTTCTAGTTATTATTGTCAAGAATCCAGCAACCACTCGGGACATGTAGATAAATACGATGATAATTACTACCGAAATAGGTATCCAAAGTCATACGACCAACAAGAAGACCACATTCGTCGTCGCAAAAAGTCTAAACACCGCAGTCCCAGCTGTGATACACATCATGAATCTAAACGATCTCATCATGAAAAAAAATCTCACAAGACTAGGAAACATCCCGAAGATAATCATAAATCCATCTCAGGCAATGAGTAACTCACAAAATTTCTTTATTTTTGTACAGAGACAAATCTTTAGTACTAGTTGACAATGAGGAAGATGAGGAAGAGATTATCAGACGAAGACGTATTGAAAGACAAAAGTTGTTAGAAGTTAGTATCTAATAAATCTAACTTTCTTGTGTATTTTTTATTCAAGAAGTTAGAGGTCGGAAACCAAGGAGAAGCCCTAATCACTAAACTCGACAGCGATCCAATCCTCAAGTTATTCAGGCAGACAGTTTGACGGATATGGTCACGTTTGATGATACTGAGGACTTCGATTTTGAGAGGTTTGTCCAGGCTAAGTTAGAATGTATCAAAATGGCTCCAACTAGTACCTCAGGTGGGTAAGATCGATACTAAAATTCATTACATCAAAAGTAAATTACTACTAGTTGACACGTTTGCACTATTTACGGGTTAAGTTCGCAAAATTTCTTTATGCAGTTAGCAGAGACTTAGTATGATTGGAGTTACCTATATATCTATAGTATGCCTTTCGATGGTGTTCCATTCCTACTTAAAGTATGATTGCATGTGTCATTGTGCTTACTAAGTTACAGACAGATTCGATTGTCTTAAATTTGGATTTGGAGGTTAAAATAAGTGTTGATATTAACTTCAGTCAATTTCCGTATTAAAATTAACCTCATTAACTCATATCCATTTCAAGTATGTAGACTTCAAGCTATTTAGTAATTTTATATGACTTCCAAATTGTTCAAAGTACGTTTGGTTTGTTTCGCTTAACTTGATTTTCCATTATATCTTTCCAGACCAACCGAGTTCACCAAGTGGTCGTCTATCCGGTGTTCAAGCTCCAGCCGCAATGGCACTTCAAGATAAAAGAAGAAATGACCCAAATATCTCTGGACATAACAATTCCAAACCCTCTACATTTGATATGTTTGCTGAGGAATTCGAAGTCGAGCTGCACCATGCTCCGGGGACAATGGCATTGGGGGCTATGGCCTCTGAAAATCATGCCCTCTCCGACAATTGGGATGATGCTGAAGGTTATTACCGTAAGTTTTTAAATTTATAGTTTTTTGCTATTCATTTCCTTGGTTTCTGTTCATACAATGCAGAAGAGCAGTGGACATTTTTAGGACTCAAAACAATCTCACTTAAATTCCTTAGAACTTTACGTTAAATTTTAGTTGCATTTCTGAATGTTAATAAGAACTGCATCATGACTAGCTAAACCTTATCTCAATATAGATATGTCTACACATTTAGTATGATAAAATCCCCGAATTCGGGGCTATTTTCATTAATAATTGAAATAAGTGTTTTTAGGTGACAGAACATATATACATTTTATGTATTTTGATGAGTATTATACAAATAATTTTCAATGTCCAGGTGTTCGCATTGGTGAAGTTTTGGACAAGCGTTATGCTGTTTACGGATATACTGGTCACGGAGTGTTTTCTAACGTTGTTAGGGCGAGGGACAGTGCTCGGGGCAATTTAGAGGTGGCAATCAAGATAATAAGAAACAACGATGTAATGTAAGTTAGAACTTTTTACTTTACCCAATGGTTTTCATGTAATATACAATAAGTAATCTGAATTCATCGTACTAGTATTTATTGTATAACTAGTAATATAGTGTAGTTGCTGAGGTCCTTTGGCAGTACGCTGATAATCGTGTTGTTTCACTTTATTTGCTTAAATCTGCTCCTATTTTTAGGCACAAATCAGGTCTAAGGGAATTAGAAGTTCTTAAAAAACTCAACGATGCTGACCCACAAGATCGTTTTCACTGTCTGCGACTTTATCGTCACTTTTTCCATAAAAATCATCTATGCATGGTGTTCGAGTTGATGAGTCTAAATCTTCGAGAGGTTCTGAAAAAGTACGGACGTAATATTGGGCTGCATATTGCTGCTATACGCTCATACACTCAGCAGCTTCTGTTGGCTTTGAAGCTGATGCGCAAGTGTGGTATTTTGCATGCGGACATCAAGCCTGATAACATACTTGTAAATGAAAACAAAATCTTGCTTAAGTTGTCTGATTTCGGATCAGCATCTACTATACAGGATAATGATATCACGCCTTATCTTGTTTCACGTTTTTATCGTGCTCCAGAAATAAGTAAGTTTCTTGTTATAAGGTATTTTGTAACATGCTTTTTAATACTACCTTTGATTTTTTAAAATAAAATACTGACATTTTTCTACTTTCTGCATTTTTTGCGTATTCGGCGTGATATCAGCCAATGGAAATCAGTCGCCACCATGAACTTGCTATTCAATAATCGTGGTCAAGATATGGAGTATTGTGACGATACTAGTGGGGCTGTCTTCTTGCTACCTTTAGCGAGGGTAATCTTTCTTATGCGCTCCTTAGTGAATTTTACGTTTTTTAAAACATTTTATTTTCTTATTTAGTTCAAACTGATAGGGTTCCTGGTTTATATATTTTTGTCCTGAATCTGCTTGACTCCTTTCATCATCTATGCACATGGCTGTAGTGGTCACGATTGGCGGGTTAATTAGCTTAGTTTTATCGCTACTGACTTTTGATATCAACATCGTAATACTTGATAGGTTTTCCGATGCGAATATGGTAATGTTTTGTGAATAAAAGCTCTCATTCAAACATGATGAGTCCGTATCGTGTATCCTATCTTTAAGGAGTATGTAGTTTAAAAGATCTCGACATGTTATTACGTCTGTTTTTAGTGACAACTTGATGATGAGTGTACACACCAAATGCCCCTAATAAGTATTTTTTTAAAAGTCAAGTTTGCTAAATCTTACTGACCGTAGATGAATAGTACGTGGTTACTATGTTTACGCTAGTTCTCGTCAGCTTCTCAGTCATTTATTTACCCTCAGTATTAGTTGGTTTGTTTAGTATCCATAGTTCCCTCAGTAGTACATACGGTTAGTTAACCATGAAACTTTCGTGAAGATGTGATGGTTATTTATATTTATCTCATACTTTAAGTCAATAGCAGCCATGGGCTCACGTACTGTGCGAATAATTATTACATTCGGCTGATGATGATTACAAAGTTCTTTTGTTTCTCATTCCATTTAAGAAAGTATTTGTAAAGAATTTGAGTATATTTCTTAATAATACTTAATAATATATGGGGTTCGCTATATTACTGTTCTCATCACTTAACTAATTGAGCGTCTTTGGCTGGTAATATCGTTCTATGTAAAATTGTTGGTTGTTTCTTTGTCCAATATGTTTATAAATTAGTATAACAACAATTCATTATCCAACTCTATCGTGTGCAATAATAACAGTTATTTCACCAAGTCATCTAAAATACTTTTTAATAAAGTGTTCCTTTTGGTTTCTCCAAGATTTCACACATAATAACTTAATAGCCATATTTTTGAAATCGGCTAACACGACTTTAAAACAATTTAGTGGTTGATGGACTCAACTTCCAACATTTTTCTTGCCGGGTAGCGTCGCCAGTTCCCACAAGGTGTAGCCCATCAGTCGGATACCTGAATCCGTACCTGGTTAATGGCTTACATTAATGTCGAGATATAATCGTCTGTTCATCTCACTTAATAACTATATGAGATAGACCTTTGTTACATTTTGATTCTACAGATGTAACCTGATGGACATGTTTTCATAATAACCGAGTCACCGTGGATCGTTCAAAACCATTTTCAATCAAAATCTTGGTGTTTGAAATTTGTTTTAGTTTTAGGTGTTCCTTACGACTACAATGTGGATTTGTGGTCTTGCAGCGTAACTCTATTTGAGTTACATACTGGACAAATTATGTTTCCAGGAAAGACTAACAATGAAATGTTGCGTTTGATGATGGAAGTCAAAGGACGTATACCAGGTCGCGTGATCCGCCGTGGGATGTTTCGCGCACAACATTTTGATGAACAGTGCAATTTCCTCTATCATGAAGTGGACAAAGTAACACAAAAGGTTTGCTGACTTATGCAAAGATCTATGTTTATGAATTTAAAAGCTATAACGCGTATTTTAATCTCATACATGTATTGATGTTGTTCTTAATCCCTTCCACTATTATTATTATTATTATTATTATTATTATTATTATTATTATTAGGTCAAATGGTTTTACCGCTTCCTATGCAAGTATATCTAAGTTCTACCACTTTCCAATTGTGTGGATCTATTAGATTTTCAGTTAATCATGCTGTCTAAATGTGCTTTATTCCTAATAGTAAATGATTAACATACAGGTTATCATTTTGGTACATTTACCTGGGATAAATGTGACTACTTGTGTTCCTGGCCGGCTAATGATTTGTGATAATATAGTGTTGCACCATCCATGCAATGTCGTAACATTGAAATGCGCATAAGATTAGACATTAAAAAATTCACTCTACTAACTATGTAACATCTAGGATAAATGGCTGTGATTTCATAATTTAATATTTCCAATTATCTCGCTTATCAGGTAAAATCTTTGGAGTTAATCAGATCAGGCAGTTAATATGACGATTGTCTCCACTCTTCTCAATAATTTCATGCACTGAGAGATAATTTTCGGATCTTAGTTCCCACAAATACTCAATTTTGATCTACCTAAATTACCTTGCAAATTTTGCCAGGTTAGTTAATGTATATACTATCAACGCTTATTTAGATTTCCAACCTAGTAGCTAAAAAATTTTGTTGTAGTTCGCAACTCTCATATCCTGTTTTTATTTTTACCAAAAATCGAGTACTTGTAAAACTTCAGATAAATCAATGTCAATCATTTCAGTGTTCTTCATATCATTCCTGAATTTTAAACAATATTCAGTAACTGTGAAAGTCTAGTATATGTAAAGTATGTTTTTAAATAATTTGCCGATGTTTGTTTTGTTTATCTGATCTCTTAACCACCTTAACACTCCCTCGGGTTGTTCGTTTTCATAAAATGTTCCGAAACTTACATTCAGTTGACGAGTCTCGAATAGGATGAAACGCGCGTCCTGGATTCCACTGCTAGCCACCATCCATTTTTACTGAAAATTTGGTTATTTGCCAAATTTCTGCTTAATAAAAAAGATGTTCAAGATTTTCATTAACTGGAATGAAAACGCTATTGTACTTATTATTAGTCGTCTATATGTTGCTTATTTCGTTTTAGGAGAAAATGACGGTAATTCGTAATTTACAACCAACAAGAGACCTAATGACAGACCTTATTGGTCAGTCGAAGCTAAGTGAACCAATTTTCCGCAAAGTAACACAGTTTCGCGATCTTCTCGAAAAAACTTTGATGTTGGAT